TTAAAAGATATATAGTTGGGGTGTGATAGAAGTATTGATTCAAGAGATATAGAGCCTTCTTGAGGAGTGTATGGAATCTCATAAGTTGGATTGTGAGTAATTGATATACCAAGATGATTAAAAAGCTTAAGAATCTTAAAATTGGTTGAGTTTTTATTAGGACTATCAATAATAGGATTAGAATGTGTTAAGATGTTTATAGATGATCAAAGATTGTTTTGAAGTTGTTGAAGATGAATTCGTGAACAAGTGCCTAGAAGATTAGGGTCGTTAATTTGCTTAATAAAGTTGGTAATATGATGTTGAAGTTAAATATCCCAGATATTCCAAATATTATAAAGTTGTGGATGAAGAAGAGTACTTGTGGAGATTGTACGGTTTAGCTTAGCCTTGTGCTTAACAAGTTTAATATAATGTGAGAGTATCTGTTTGCAGATTTGTTGACTAAGTACAAGATTATGAAGTCAGTATTCAATAGTTGGTATAATAACAGTATTAATAATATATCAGGCATGTGTGTCAGTAATGCATTTAGTTTCTGCAATTTGAATAAGGTGTAATAATTCCTTAATAATAAGTTGTATTTGTTTTGAGAATTTGTTGTTGAGTGTGAACCAGCATCCAAGGAATTTGAAGGGAATATGAGGTGAGTGTAAAGATAATAAGTGTTGATTATATATAATAGGAGTATATTGAGAGGGGGTTATTGGTACAAAGGATAGATTTAGCAGAGTTAACTTGTATGTTAGCCATGTTGTAGAATGATTGGGCAGTAGAAAGAATTTGTGATAGTTCATTTTGTGAGGAGGCTAGCCAGAGAGTATCGTCTATATAGGCTAGAACTGAGCATCTAGCTTGAAGTTTGTTAAATGATCTATTCTTGAGATTAGAGATCCAAGATGTTTGTATAGTATATTCAGAGAACCGTGAGTAGATGTGTGATATAAGTGGGTCATAATATATTCTCCAGAGAAGTGGAGTAATAGTTTCGCCTTGATCAATTCCATTTTAAACAGGGTATAAAGGAGTTAGTTCAAGATTAGTTATAACCTGATTATAGTGGTTAGTGAAAATATTAATTATGGTTTGAATAATAAATGTTGGTAAGGCAAGTCGAGCAAGTGAGTGCTGAAGTAACGAAAGATTGACAGAATCGTAGGCTTTGCTTATGTCTTGAGACAAAAGCTATATATCTTTGCAGTTACATGTAGCATCTTCAATTAAATTATTGAGAATATGTATAGGGGTTGCAGTAGAATTTCCAGGTAGAGCAACATAGTTGAAAGGTGATAGAATAGGATACAGTGCTAAGTCGATTGGTAATAATTTTAGTATAGATTTTACGGATATGTTCTACAAGACTAATTGGTCGAGTAAGATTTAGGTTGCCATCAAATGTATTGCATTTGAGTATAGGAAATATTCTACTATTTTTTCATTGTTTTGAAATTTGACCTTGGGTAAAGCAAAGATTGAAAAGAACTGTAAGAGCTTGTAAACATATTAGACCAGAGTGCTTGATTATTTCATAGCTGATGCCAGTAGGTCCACAAGCTTTGCTATTTGGAAGCTTTGAGATAATTGAAGTTATTTCTTCAATTGTGATTGATAAAGTAAGAGTGTTGTACCAGTTGGAATCAATATGGGTCTGTGGTAGGTATTCTTGTTGCCAAGAGCTATCAAAAAGCATTTGGTTGATAGGTTTGTAAGCAATCCAGTCATGAAAGTGCTATTGTATATGTTGTTTAATAAGAGTTGGTTCAGTAATCAATTGATCAGATAATTTAATATTTGAAAAATAAATAGGAGCTTGATAGCGATTAAGAATGCTGTTGATTGCATGTTTAGGTTTGCTAACAAGAGTTTCACATCTCCTCTCAGAAGCTTGTTAAATTTGTTGACAGAGAATAAGAGAGTTTTCAGTGTGGCATGCTTGGTACAGTTGATACCATATATCCTGAGCATGATTTATCCATTCTAGAATTTGAGCAGAATCTGAACTTGAGAGAGTTTGGAGATTATATTGAGATCGTGAGTTAATATCCTGAATCTGTAAATTAACTGAAGAAATATCTAGAGTTATATTAGTGTTTTTTAAATTTTTAATTAGATGGCCAAGTTTTTTAAGAGACAAATAAAGTTGTGTACTGTGAGGGTGTATTTGTGATTATAGCTACGTTTATGACTAACTTTGTTTGGGATAGTTGATATAGCAGTACTTATAATAGAATGTTCAATCTTGTGCCATATGGTATCAATGCTTTCAGCAGTTTGTAGTGATAATGATATTTGGTGCTGATTGAGTTTTGTTGAAAGAAGGTCTGAAAACTTAGACCAATTTTCTGAGGTCATATCTTTATAATTAAATACATGGCAGCTAATACCTGTATGCAAACGAGGATGTTTGCTATAAGCATTAGAAAATGTCCAAGATGTATTAAGTATAAGATGGTCACTGCAAGTACTAGTATTACTAGTATCTAGTTTGTATGATAAGAGAAACTGAATATTAAACTGATCAGTCCATAGTCAATTCTGCTAGAGTAAGTATTATTAGACCATATATAGTGAGTATTATCAAAATATGCACCAACATCATATATGTTAGAATGGTGTAAGAAATTTATGAGTCTGTATTTTGCTGAGAAACGGACCCTTATATGGTCTTATTGTACATTTGCACCGATTATATAGTTTGCATTCTTTTATCAGTTTCACCATCGCACCAGATAAATGCCATACTTGGGATTTGCAAGTGGTTCTTCCTAATTGGTGCCCCATGGGTCAATTTATGTGTACAAATTTCTTTGTACTTCCAATCATCATTGGTATAACCATAAATTACAGCATCCGTCTTATGCCCAGCATACCCAATTAAGTTGACATATTGGAGATATACAAGTTTTTAATATTCAATAATCGTTGCTGGTAGGAATTGAACTCTAGACCTGCCACTTGGGGGTGACAACTTGACCACTTCACTAAGTCACCACACCCCTAAATCTGGTAAAGATAGAACCACTATGAAATATAATATATTAGATAACTATTTTAATAGAATTAAGATAATATAAGATATTTATTTATTTTTAAAAAAACTTCTATAAAAATAGAAAATGCTAGTAGAATATAAAATACTAAAAAGTACTGTCTCAATAGAATTGGAGTTAAAAAAAACAATATAAAATATTTATTTATTTTAAAAAAATACTAGTGAAGATAAGAAACTCTAGTAAAACATATAATACTAAAAATTGCTATTTTAATGAAATTGGAATTGAAAAGGATATTATAAAAGATTCTTTTGTAAACAAAATATTTAGCAGCAATAAAAAACTTGATAGAACATATAATACTACCTCAATAGAATTAAGTTGAAAAGGATAATATAAAGTATTTATTTACTTTTAAAAAATTTTTAGTAAAGACAAGAAACTCTAGTAGAATATATAAGCTAAAAATCACTATATTAATAGATTTAGAGTTGAAAAGAATAATATAAAGCATTTTTTCACTTTAAAAAACTCTAGTAGAAGTGGTAATATATAAACTAGAAATTGCTATCATAATGAAATTGGACTTAAAAAGATGATATAGATATTTATTCACTTACAAAAAAAAACAGTAAAAATAGAAAGCTCTAGTAGAATATATAATACTAGAAATGGTTATCTCAATAGAATTAGAGTTGTAAATAACAATATAAACTATTCATTTATTCAAAAAAATCTTAATAGAGATGAAAAACTCTAGTAAAATATATAATACTTAAAATTGCTATCTTATTTGAATTGGAGTTAAAAAAGACAATATAAGATATTTATTTACTCGCAAAAAAAAATAGAGATGAGAAACTCTAGTTAAACATGTTATACTAGAAATGGCTATCTTAATAGAATTGAAGTTAAAAAGAATAATATAAAGCATTTATTTACTCTTAAAAAAAGCTTAGTAGATATAAGAAACTCTAGTAAAATATATAATATTAGAAATTGCTATCTCAATGAAATTGGAATTAAAAAAAATGATATAAAACTTAGTAGAAGTAAGAAACTCTAGTGAAGTATATAATGTTAGAAATTGCTATCTTAATAAAATTGGTATTGAAAAAGATAATATAAGATACCATTTATTTTTTTAAAAAAATAGAAATTCTAGTAGAATACATAATACTAAAAATTGCTATTGCAATGAAATTGGGGTTAAAAAAGATAATATAAAATATTTATTCATTTAAAAAAGAGTGATATAAAGGATTCATTCACTTTTAAAAAAATATCTGGTAGATAAACTCTAGTAGAGTTGAAGTTGAAAAGAATAATACAAGATATTTATTTATTCTCAAAAAATTTAATAAAAATAAAAACTTTAATGAATATATAATACTGGAAATTGTATTATAATAAAATTGGAGTTGAAAATAATGATATAAAACATTCATTTAATCTCAAAAACCTTTAGTAGAGATATAATACTAGATATTGCTATCTCAATAGAATTAGAATTGAAAAGGATAATATAAAATATTTATTTATTTTTAAAAAAATATCTAATAGAGATGAGAAATGGTTATCTATCAGAATTCCAATATTCAAAACAACCATCCTGATATCCTTAAACAAAAATTTACACCAACATGTCTACTCCAACTACTCAAGAACCTGAAGCACCTAACTTTGAAATAGCTTCAAATTTGCTTCAACCAAATATATCTCAACGATGTTTTCCTCATTATTCGACTACTCACCAATCTTCTAACGAATCTTCTAATACAAACCAAAACCAACCTCTTGACTGGTTCAAGCACTTTCCTGTCCCAACAACAAATGGTCTTTTCCCATTTAATCAACTCACAGTTCAAACAATAAACTTCTTAAAACCATTTCTTAAAGACTTTTATCCTGGCTCAATCATTCAACCAGCAACAACTAGTAAACCAGCCCTTAAAAATAATTTCAATCTTTTACTTCATACTATGGCTCTTCATAAACCTAAATTTCTCATTGATACTATTCTAAATTCATACCCTCATATTACCCAACCTACAGATATTCCTATTAACTTTATTTGCAAAGTTCTTAAAAAACTACTACTAGTATTTACCACTACCCTTTTTAAACATTCTAACTATTTAAAAATATTTAATTACTATCTTTTTATCCCTCCTTACTCTATTAAAAAATGTTTTCAAATTATTATTAATTTGGCCAGACTCTATCTCTTTCTCTCCAATCAATACCAAACTATTGACCGACAAAAATTCTTCCATGACTTAAAACTTAAACCAATGTATTTACGTACATTTTTCTATATTAATCAAACTAAACACATTAACGCTCCTACAGTCCAAATCTTTAATACCCCCAAATTCGATATTAATATTATTATCAATATATCCCTACAAGAATTTCTAACAACATACCGTATTCCTTCTTTCTCTTTATTTTCAACAGAATTTAACAAGTGGTTTCAAAAATTCTTCAAATACTACAAGAAACAATTCGATACTATTAATAAACAAAAAGTCTACAATTATATCAAATTTCAAATAGTGATGAAAATAAATAACGAACACAAAAAACTTATCCCTAAGGAAATTCAACCTTCTACTATTCTATTTATCCAAAGCCGCACAAATACTGCTATTAAAACTGCTCTACACCACATATATTTATGCACAGATTCCTCTAAATGTACAATCCTTACACCCAATACTATACATAATCTCTGTAATTTAACTACTTATTTTTTTAAACATTTCTTTCAAACCTCACCTATCCCTAAACTTATTTATCCAACTTTAGATAATTCTATCTTTCTATCTAACCAACTTCATACCGCTACCTTCTCTACTCTCTTTCCTTTTAAAGATCTTTACAACTTTGCTAACCAAGCAGAACAAAAATTTATTACACTCAACCCCAAATTTACTAAGCTCAAGTTAAAACCTTCTGAAACAAATATCCAAACTACTAAATGAATATCATTCTTCTTTTACAACTATCTTCAAGCATACTTAAAAATTGTTGCAACTAACGACCAAATTACAGACCTTAATCTTAAAGAAGCACTCAACAAAATTTCTTCTAAATCTACAGATCCACAAACCCTGGCTAGAGTTATCGCTTACTATGACTTTACCTATATTTTTAAACCTACTATCACAACTTTTAAAAGAAATCTAATGAAATCATACATCGATCAAGCAAATCAATACCTGATCAAAAAACTTGAACTCTCCACCCCGACTATATCCTATACAGATTTTGTTATTACAAATTCTAATACTCAACAGCAACAACAACCCCTATCACAACAAAATCTCACTGATGCTACAAAGGTCAAAACCTCTAAAAGTAACAAAACTGACACTATGAAGGTTAAAACTCCTAAAAATAACAAACAACAATTCCGCTCCAACAACTCTAATATAAACTCTAATATAAAATGGAAAACTATTGAATTTGACGATAGTCTTTTCTTTTAACCTAACTTATACTATACGTTATACCCAACATATTAACTATACATTTTTATATACTTAATTATTCTTTTACTTTTATATTTTATAACTCTATACTACTAATTACACCAAACATTTAATATATTAGTATTTTATATAAATCTCTATATAGCCAATCACTTTCTTATACTTTATAATATCATACTACTAAATATACAAATCACTTTATAGTTTAGTTTTACTTTCGAATTTATTCAGCTAAATACTCTACTCATCTTTCATCTATTTTCTTCTTTTTGCTTGTATAAAGAAGTTTTAACTATCACAATCTAGGTGAGTCTTTGACCACTCTAGTAGGTTTAGGTTACAGATAAATTTTTCCCTGTCTGAGCTCTTATTTTTGCATGTAATTTTAACTTTATTTGTACTAGTACAAATAGTAGTAGCTTTGTAAATTCCTATATGTAGTAGTTTAATGGTTAGCCCTAATCACAAGTGGAAGCCTCGGTGACTGCGCTATAGTAATTTACATTGTAACTATTTTAAAAAATTATCAATAAAGATATGAGCAAGGCCTCACCTTAACACCGGAAGAATCCCAATATTCAAAATTCTAACACTCAAAATTCTAACACTCAAAATCCCAACATTATCAAAATTCTAATATTCAAAATCCCAATATATTAAAATCCTAATATTCAAAATTCCAATACACAAAATCCTAATACTATCATAACTTTTGATATACCAATCCAATTTTGATGATTTAATCATCAAAATGATTCTTTTAGAGAAAGGATCATTTTGGTAGTTAAATTATTAAAATTGAATTGGTATATCAAAAGTTATATCAGTATTGGGATTTTGTGTGTTGGGATTTTGAATGTTGGGATTTTAATATATTGGAATTTTGAATGTTGAGATTTTGATAATGTTGGGATTTTGAGTGTTGGGATTTTGAGTGTTGGGATTTTGAATATTAGGATTCTACTAGATAACCAAAACTCTAGTGGAATATGTAATACTAGAAATGGCTATTTCAATAGAATTGAAGTTAAAAAAGACAACATAAAATATTTATTTATTTAAAAAAACTTAGTAAGATAAGAAACTTTAATAAAATATATAATACTAAAAATTGCTATCTCAATAAAGTTGAAGTTGAAAAGAATAATATAAGACATTTATTCACTTTTAAAAAACTCCTTAGTAAAGATAAGAAATATTAATAGAATATATAATACTATCTTAATAAAATTAGAGTTGAAAAGAATAAAATAAAGCATTTATTTATTTCAAAAAAGCTATGATAAAGATAAACTAAAAATAGCTATTTTAATAAAATTAAAATTAAAAAGAATAATATAAAATATTTATTTATTTTTAAAAAAAAGCTTAGTAAATATGAGAAACTTTAGCTATTTAAAGTTAAAAAAGAAGATATAAACTATTTTTCATTTTTTTAAAAACAACTTGGTAGAAATAAAAAACTCTAGCAGAACATACAATACTTAAAATTGCTATTTCTATATAACAAAAAATAGAAATAATAAAATATATACAAATTGCAATCAATATAACTATCTTAAGACTTATATATAATATTTAGAAGGCAATATAATAATAGACAAGTAAGAATAAAGATATAGATAAATGTACTAGAAATTTTTGATTTAATTCTACTAAAAATAAAAAAATTACCATAATTTTTTTAATAAATTAAATAATTTTTAAGAGATTAGTGATAGACTTTGGTAGTATAAATAGATAGTATATAGTATACAAATAAATATGAATATAGATATCATAGTCATATAGAGTGCATTAAACTAAAATACAGCTTATAACATTTTTTGCAAAAATGAGTTAACTATATAGTCATATAAAGTAGACACTTCTAGATAATTTGATATTTAAAATATTGATTTATATAATAAAATTTTTGTTGATGCCTTCTTTTTTAAATCTTATATATGGTTAGCAATGATTTAAAATTAGAATTCAGAAATCTGATTGTCAATCCTTGCTGCAGAGTTATAGAAATACATCTGTATAATTGGCTAATTGATATTGATCCAACAGGTTATACTAATAATAGATTATTATTGTTATTATTACATGAAATTTTAAACATGATTTTTTCAAAATTTAAAAAAAGCTATAAGCCATGTCTTAGTTTGATGCATTCTATATAATTTACTATATATATATAATTATGCTTAAAATATTTTTTAACTACCGTAGTGCACTGACCAAAGTACCCCCCTTTTTGCGTACCCCCCTTGCAAAATACTCTGCGCAAAACACGAGATCTCTATTAATTAAACATGAGTTTTTTTAAATTTTTAAACTGCTTATTGTTAATGCAGAATATGTATATGCTTGAAATTTTATTTCTTGCAACACAGACCCGTAACGGTACAATAGACCCAGGTCTTTTGTAAGTTTTTTTTGGGGTGGATTGTATTGTACCCCGGGTACTTTGGTCAGTGCACTACGGTAGTTTATACAATTTATTAAATATATATTTTAAAAGATTATATTATTTTAGAGTATTGCTAAATATTATCACAAGTGATTATTACTGCTTATATATTTGACCAATCAATTTGTAAAGTCTTGTATAATTAAAACAATAGCAAAACTAAAAAACAAATCAAAAATATCGATAACAAGTTATTTTACTATAGCAATAAATCTTTGTGCATTAATTAAAAGTTTCAGAACAAAATTTCATATATAATTTTATCTTTTTATTCTAATCCTGCCTAAATCTAACTTTAAATATTAGTTTCTTAAATAAATTTATAATAAAGTGATGATAATCACCTGTAGTGACCTTTAGCAAAATTTATTATTTTATATATAATTTATTCTAGTATATATATATAAATTATACTGTATTTTATATTTTATATATTTAAATTTAAAAATTATATTTTGAATTCAATATTTATTATTATATATTTTGCTAGTATTTCTATCTTTGATAATAAATGAATATTTTATATTTATTCTTTTTTGCCTCAATTCTATTAAGATAGCAATATCTAATATTATATATTTACTAGTATTTTTTATTTTATTAAATTTTTTTTAGGAGTAAATAAATACTTTATATTGTCCTTTTTAACTCTAATTCTATTGAGACAGCATTATATATTCTATTAGAATTTTTTATCTCTATCAAGATTTTTTAAGAATGAATAAATATTTTATATTATCTTTTTTAACTCCAATTCTATTAAAATAGCTATTTTTAATATTATATATTCTACTAGAGTTTCTAATTTCTACTGCTTTTTTTTTAATTAAATAAATATTTTATATCATCCTTTTCAACTCCAATTCTAATGAGATAGCAATTTTAAGTATTGAATATTCTACTAAAGTTTTTTATCTCTACTGGTAGTTTTTTATTTCTGAATAAATACTTGCTCTTTTTAACTTTAATTTTTTTTAAAATAGAATTATATAAGGTATTATCTATTTAAACAGTCTTTTTTACATATATTTTATTTTGAGATAATTGAGTTTAATCATTTGTTTTGATTTTCAAACGAATTCGAGATTAATCAAATTTCATAATTTTGATTAGTTAAAGATAACAGATAACTATTAGAAAATCTCATGATGTGTTGGCTCTATGCAGCCTATATAATTTTTCTTTTACAATATCTTGATTTTTATTATTCAAACTGATTTTTATTTATAATTGAAAAATATCAACTACACCAAAATTTATATAAATCTAATAAAAACTCATTTTTCAAAAAATTGTAAAAAAGGGCTGTTTTAATAGATAACACCCTA